TTCAAAGCCATGTACGTTAATTAAACGCAAGTGACATGGACCTCCCGCTCACCGCGGACGTCCAGCTCACTGAGGGCCCGCTCCCACCAAGGGGTTCGAATCCTGAAGGCTATCTGCAAGCACTGCTTGGGAGCTTGGATGTTCCCTGAAACCTTCGCGAAATGATCTGAGCCGAAAAGCTTCGGAAGCAAACGACGTGGTTCCTCATTTGAGAGAGAGTGAGAAAGAGAGAGAGAGAGAGAAAGAGAGAGAGGGGGGGAACGTGAAAGAGAGAGAGAGAAAGATGAAGAGAGAGAGAGAGAGAGAGAAAAAAAAAAAAAAGGAGAGAGACAGAGAGAGAGAGACAAAAAAAAACAAGGATACGTACAAATAGGACTGCAGTGGCGCTTCGCGCCATGCACTTTGGCCCCTCAAGTTTCGCATGGGCGAAATGGGTGATAAAGAACGAGAGAGAAAGCGACAGAGAAAGAGAAAGAGAGAGAGAAGTGCAACGAACGATATCATGTCATTGGCTCCGTTTTCGTGCTGTCATTTTCTTCATCATCCTCTTTATCCCTTTCTTCATCTGTATTTTTCTTACTCGTTCTCGAGTCCGTGGCACTGCCGCTGTGCTGGATCGCCTCAAGCATACAAGGTGCTGGGGGGTCCTCAAAGACTTCTTGGGGCTTGGTGTGGGCTTCTGGGGGCCTGATGAACGCCTTTGGGGGGCCTCTGGGGGCTTCATGGGGACATCCTGCCGCCCTTCGCGGTTTTTCTCAACGACCGGCCCCCGACTTGGAATGTTTTGGGGGGCGTCTTGGAGTCATGTTGGGGTCTTCTTGGGGCGTGATCCGTTGTTTTGGGGCTGTCTTCAAGAGTCTTGACGCCTTTGCGGCCAGTCTTGGGCGACATTGGATGCCTCTCGGACGGTCTCGGACGCCCGGAAGACCGAAGAATCGAGCATCTGAACATTGAACAACAATTAACAACACACCGGGGCTCTCGTGGAGCCGTTTGGGCGCCCTCCTGACCGCTGTGGGTTCGCCAGCCAGGCTTGGCAAGGGCGCCCAGGAGGCCCAGAAGTCCCGGGAGGCCCTCTGCGTGGGGCGTCCAGAAGGCCCCTGGGACACGGGGATCTGGGGGGGGGTCCGTTTCGGGGGATTCGGACTCACTCATGCGCCCCACGGCGACGCACTCACGCGCCCCGCGTTCATACGAATGCGGCGGTCTGTGCGCGCGGCGTAGCGCCGCGTCCATTGGAAGGTCGGCGCTGGCAGAGCCTGGCACCTTTTCGAAACCTGCTGCGTCGACGTAATCAGATGCTGTTGGCGACGACGACTCCGAAGACACACTCCTGCCCATGGATCTTCCACACACTCGTGGGTCACTCGTTGGAGAAGTTCGTAGATTCGCAGCGGGCACATACCTGCACCTGCGTCCCAGCCCTGTCGGCGGCGGTGTCCTGTCGGCGGTTGTGTCTTGGCTCCAACGCCGCGGCTCGGTTGGCCGAACCCGCGGGCCCGCGCCGCGCAATCAGGCCAGGCGCGCCGCGCGACGGGCGGCGGCGCTGACCGCCGTGCGGGCCCCCGCCTCGAGCGCATGGCGCCTCAGATCGTCACCTTCGCACCTGCCTTCCGTCGGAGAGCGCCTCGGCGATGTTCGAGGGCGGCGGCAGCAGCTCGCCCGGCTGAGCAGCGGCGGCCCGGCCAGTCGCCCCGGCCGCCCCCGCCAACGGCAGCTCAGCCAGCAAATGCTCCGCCACGTGCTACTGGCCTCGCAACTGCCCCCGATCCTTCTCCGCCCAGCCCCGTTCCCGCGCGCGCTACACCGCCAGCTCCACCGCCTCCCCCCCCCGCCCCTCGTCCGCCCGGCGCCACTCCCCTGCGGAGGGGGCGGCCATGACTCCCGAGCCAGCGGCGGCGCCCGACGCACTGGCAAAGCCAGATGCCTCCCCCGCGGCCTCCGCACGCGCCTCCCGCGCGACCTCGCCTTCCGCCCATGTGGCGGTCGCTCCTGGAAGGCCCCTACGGGTCCCAGCTGAACTCGGGGCGGCCCAGGGTGAAAGTCTGAAGAGCCCCGGGCGGCACGGGCCCATTGAACATGCTGCACACGCGCTCATCGCTTGGTTTGAACCCCATCTTCTCACGGCTGATCCACGACGGGCCCAAATCCCCGCCATGGGCGCGCAGAAGCTCGCGCAGAAGACGAACCATCTGGCGTCGCAGCCCCCGCGCAAGCATCTTGCAGGCGCGCTGGGATGCGCTCTGGCAGAACCTGGTGCCCCGGGTCGGCGCCAGGTAGGTTTGCCAACAGCTGGGCCGAAGTGATTGCCCAGCACGCTGGGCGAAGAAGGGACTCGAACTCTAACGGGGGCGTAAAGATGAGAGCGGCAACCGCGTGGAGGCATGCGAGCTCAGGCGCATCTTGTTTCGTTGCGCCCCCGCCGCGCACAGCGAGCGGCGGCCATCTCTGTTGGCGAAGTTGCGCGGCAAGTCCAAAGCGCACTACCAGTGGGCACTGGCAAAGCCTGGTGCCGAAAAGGCCCTGCACGCCGTTATGGCCTCCACCATCTTCCCACAGCGACACTTTGGGCGGGTGGATGCATGGTTGTTCAGCACGGCATGCAAGATGCCGCTGGCACGGTGCTCCAACTGGCATGCTTCAACTGCCATGGCGCCCGCGCGCCCGCCCGAGCGAGTGGAGAGCCAAAACGCATCGGAGTAGCGTCGGGGCACCAACTGATGACAAATGCGGTGGCTGTGACGGTGGCGATGTTGGTGATGCGGGTACGGGTTGGCGACCGACCGCGCATGGTGACCTGAAGACGAATCACCTGAAGACACTGCGGGGGCAAATAAACCACAACATCGCGAATCACTACTTGTATGTCAGTCTCACAATCAATCGGTCCCAGTACCCATCTCACAGCCGACCCCACTATCTTTCGATCGATATCACCACTGGTTTCTAATATCGCTATTGACCTCGCTACGGGTCCTCCTCAATCTATCGATATGAGAATATATCGGTCCCACCGTCATTTCCACTATCGATATCACTATCGATCACATGATCACTACATCTACCGATATCAATATCTACCTTACTCTCGATCTACCTATGGATCTCACTATCGATCCCGCGGTCGATCTCAATATCAACCTCCCTCTATCTATCGGCCTCACGACCTATGGATCTCACAGTCGATGTCATTCACAATCGACCCCGGCATCGATCTCACTATCGAGCTCACGGGGCACCACGGGACACCACGGAACCAGTCGGGCCATCCAGGGGGAATCATCGTGGCAACGAGCAGAACTAGGTCGCATTTACTTGCCCGCGCGCTCTCTCGTTTAGAAGAGCATACACAGATCATGCAAGGCCACGGGGCTCCACGAGACACCAAGGGAAACGACTATCGATTCCACTCTCTGTCGATCTCGCTAACGCTCCCACTATCGATCTCAATACAGGTCTCCCTCGATCTTTCGATCTCAGTATCTATCGATCTCAATTTCGACTTCACTATTGATATTACTACCAGTGTCTCAATATTTGCCGCTCTCGATCTACCGATCGATCCCACTATCGGACTATCAATTTCATCATCGATCTCGCTATCGATCACACATTCGATATAATTACCGATTTCCCCCCGTAAGTTGATCTCGCAATCGATCGATCTCACGATCGGTTTCACAATCGACCGAACTATCGATCTCACCATCGATCTCACGATCGATCCCACGATCGATCTCACTATCAATCTCACGAGAGATCTCACTATCGACATCATGATCGATCTCACTATCGATCACACTATCGATAGCCTTGCATGGCGTAGCATCTCACGGGACACCCCCGCGGCACGGGACACCACGGGACACCACGGGACATCCCGCACCACGGGACATCATAGCATAGCATCGCATCGCATCGCATAGCATAGCATCGCACATCATAGCGCTAACACAACATAGGACACCACGGAACATCCACGGGACACCCGTGGGACACCCGCAAGCCACCACGGGACACCTACGGGACACCACTGGACACCACGGGACACCAACGCGACATCCCCGGGCCACCAGCGGCCACCTGCCGGGTAGAGTCATTGGACTCAGTCTCATCCTAGCAACGGCGGGTTCACTCCTCTCGCCCGCCCACCCAGCTTTGCCTCGCCCCCACGCACGACACGAACACGAAGCCGAAACCGATTTGCCTGTGGGGGGTCTCTGTTTCGCCTCGATATCACCCCTCAACCTCCGATCAAAAATGGCTCGAGATATACGTACAAACATCCATGTATGTGTAGATGTCAGAGCGAGGGGGCGTTATTGTTTGTTTGTTTGTTTATTTGTTGTCGTCGTCCCACCCGCGACCCACCCGCGAACCACCCAGCGACCCACCCCGCGACCCACTTGTGACCCACCCGCGACCCCCCCACGACCCACCCCGCGACCCACCCCGCGACCCATCCGCGACCCACCCGCGACCCACCCGCGACCCACTTATGACCCACCCGCGACCCCGCGACCCACCCGCGACCCACCGCGACCCAACAGCGACCCACCCGCGACCCACCCCCGATCCCGGCCGCGACCCATTTGCGACCCACCCGCGACCTACTCACATTGGTTTAACGAACAAATCGGCGCCTGCGGCGGACTCGTTGTATAATTGTGAAACTTTGGCGCCTGCGGCGGGCTTCTCCAGAGTCTCGCAGACTGCCGACGTCCCCACCGCCCCCTCACTCTTATCCGCGTCTGCGGGGTGCTACGCATATATGGAGAGACAGAGAGAGAGAGAGAGATAGAGGGGAACAAAAAAGGAGAGAGAGAGAGAGAGGGAGAGAAACAAAAAAGGGAGAGAGAGAGAGAGAGATAGGGAAAGAGAGAGAGAGAGAGAGGAAGAGGGAGAGGGAGAGGGAGGGAGCGAGAAAGGGAGAGAGAGAGAGAATAGCAACACATTGTAAAAAGACGCAATCTATATAGAGAGAGAGAAAGAGAAAGCTCCTGTACTTGGCAGGCCCCAGCTGCTTCAGCCACTCCTTCAGGGAGGGCAGGCGGGGCCCCGAACTCGGTAACAAGGGTGACGGGGGGAGGGGAGGATGTGGGGGAGGACGGATGGATGGTATGAAATATGAAGGGCTCGGACACCACGCTCCCTCTCAAACCCCTCACTCTAACGACCAGCACCGATGTGAGAGCGAGGACGAGGATGCAATATCCCGCGCCCACCCCTCACCCCAGCCTGCCACCCACGGGCGCTCAGGACGCCCGCGCGGCCGGGACACTGGGCCCAGGCCGTGTCGGAGTCGCCTCCTGGCCAGTCTACTGCTTAAGCGCTCCTCGAGGAGCCTCGTGCGAGTTCTGCCACTCCCAGCGTCGTCTCCGCAGCGGCGCGCCCCTCTGCTCACTACGGCGAGCTCGTCGCGGGGCCTGCAGCCTCTGGCGCCGGTCCCATGGACCTGGCTGCCGAAGCCGCCACTCCGCTCGCACCCCGCGCCTGGCCTCGGTAGGCCATGGCCAGTGGGAGGCTCGCACCCGATGCTGACGACGACGACGACGCCGCCGACGACGACGAGACGGACGGCGACTAGGTTGATTCCACAACTCCTCGTCTGCCTCCACATTCACGCCCAGCACGCGTGCCCAAGCGTACGTGCGCTGCTGTAGCTCTCGCTGCACACGCAGCACTCGTGACTCTCAGCTTAACCCCCTGGATCCTCCGAGCCTCTCAGAGGGGCTCTGCCAGACCGTCGCCCATGCCGTGGCCACTGGCTGGGATGCTAGTCCCAGGTCGAGTGGAGGCCGAGGAGCCACCGACGAGGTGGACGACAATGACGATGACATCCGTCCTCATACATCGCCAAGCTCACAATCGCCCTGCACCCTTGGGGCCGCAGCCCTTGGTGCCGGTTTCAATGGCCCGCCAACCTCGCTGCGTTGCAGCCCTACTGCACTACCACCGCAACCTCACGGCCATCACGCGGCCAACCACCAGCCGATCCGACCACTCATCCGTGTAGAAACTACCGTGGCGGTCACCAGCCAAAGGTTCAACCCTATCAACGGCCTCCGTGGCACGGTCGTTGATAGAGCAGGCGCTGCTGGCAAATGTTGGCTTGTCAAGCTGTGCAGTAGTTGTAAAGCCTTCTTGAGGCCATCCAGCCTGTCCGTCGACCACGACTTTGACGACTAACCTGCACCGCAATTCCGCCTGCCGATGCCTTGCAGGTCCGGTCTGTTTTCTCTGCGAAGCTCCACTCACGTACTGTTTCGGCGTCACCGCTGTCGCCGCGCTGACCGTGGGAGGGACACACCCCTGCTCTCGGCGACGCCACTGGCCGCCCAACACTCCCTTGGCTTCTCGTGCCAGCCCTTCTAGCCGTGGGCCGGCCTCCCGCCGTGGGGACAGCCCCCCTCGATGTGCTGAGGCGGTGGCACGGCTCACTCGCCTCCCCCGCTCCCTCTTCTCCTCACAGGCTGTGCCTCCGGGTGCGGCTGGCCGTGGGGTGGCGGGATCTGGGGATGGTCTTGCCTTCTGACACGGTCGCTGACGCCTGGGTCCTCCCCTCTCCTTCAGTGCGAGAAAGCGTTGGTTCCCCCGGCGCCTGCGCTTCTGCTGCCTCTTCACCCCAAGGAGGGCCGTGCCTTTCCACTCCTTCGCCGGCCCATTGTCCTGCCTGGCACCGGTGCGCCGCCTCGCTGCCGATGTGACCAGCCTGCCCAGAGGGGTTCCTTGCCGCCACCTCGTGCCTCCGCCACGGCCCCAACAAGTGGTGACGGCTTCTCGCCATACGTGGCTGGCCGCACAGATGCGCTGCGCTGGGTGCCGCCTGCCATGGTCTTTCAGTATGCCTGTCATGGTCTTTTAGTATGTCGTGTGCCTCGTGTGCCTCGCGTGCGCGCCAAAACGCCTTGGACTCTTTTCGTGCACGGTTATGCTCCCAGCCATGCGAGGAGCAACCGAGCGCGGCGCTGGCTGCCCCGTCGGCCGCACGCGGACGCGCTCTCTCTCTCTCTCTCTCTCTTTCGTTATCTCCCTCGTTATTTATGTTGTTTGTATTTCTTTATGTATTTCTCTATTTTTTTTCTCTCACTCTCTCTCTCTCTCTCTTTCTGTCTTTTTTTTCTCTTTCTCTCTCTCTCTCTCTTTCTCTCTTTCTCTCTCCCTTGCGCTTTCTCTTTCTGTGTCTCTCTCTCTCTCTCTCTTTCTCATTTTTTCTCCCCCCTCTCTTTCTCACTCTCTCTTTCTCTCTTTCAGTATACATGTGTGTATATATGTATATATTATAGCTCTCTCTCTCTCTCTCTCTCCATCCCTCCCTCCGTCTCTGCTTTTCTCGTTCGCCCCACCCTTGTCTCGTTGCGCTTTTTTGGCATTTTGGAAACATATCGAACCCAGCCTGCACAGTTTGCTTTCGAACACAGTCCAGTTCCTTCTCACAGGTTCCATTCTGTGTCTCCTAGTGCTTGTCAGGTGTCTTGACATGATTGCGTCGCACATCATGCTCATAGTGTGTAGTATTGCATTTTCGTCATTGCTCGCAGCTGGGCTCAGGCACTAGCGATGAAGGTCGCTGCGGTAAATCCCCTGTTCCGAGGTCCTAGGGCTCGGCGGTGCCCCTGATGCGCCCGAGGGGAGAAAACAAGTGGGTACATCTCTCTTACTGTCCACGTTCCTTGCTGGCGTGAGGCTGGGCAAGACTTGGCGATCGTGTCTGGCAATTTCTCACGTTCTTCACTTCCGTGTTCTCCATCATGTTCTATGCCAACTTAGTCCGACGAATTCTTTGCATTACACACACACACACTATTAACGTTACGTGGGTTTCGAACGCGCACGTGAACATGTTGATGAAGCACGTGTCTGGCCCGACTCTCATATACGGCATGGCGACATTGTTTCATGTAGATCATGGACACCATGTACACAGCGCACGTACACATGCAAATATTGGCCGTGACATTGGACGCAGAATATTTCAGTGGGCATCAGATGGGTCCCCAATGCAGGCGCCCGTCACCTATGATTTTCTGCAGCAGTGTCTCGGGATATGCTTCGAATGGTCTTTCGCTGCGCACTTGAAGACGCACCGGTCAGACAAGATCGTCTGGAGCATCGCGACATCCATTTCACATTTCTATCTCTGTATGACATAGCGCACACACATGCTCGGCGTCAGATTCGCGTAATTATCCGTGGATGTTCTCAAAATATTCAAGAAGCCCTTTTGCATTGTCATTTCCGCTCTCACGTCTGGATGGGTATTTATCGCATGCCAGTATTGTGCGATCTGGGATCTAGAGAAATTCCGATACGAGACTGCTCTGTACTGCGGATGGATGAAGCGTGATCCACACTGGCATGTCGGTAAGGCGAACGTCGCACGTGCACACCAACATGCGCATGTAGCAGAACACGAACACATCGGCACACATGTCGCACCAAGTGAAGCCCTAAAACGTGTACCGCGGGACTCTCACATCCTGCCGGGAGTAGTCAAAATATTCGAGGAACACTGCATCAATTCCCTTGGGACTTTCGGGAAGGACCGTAACTGTAAACGATATGGGGTTTTGAAAAAGCATCATCCGTATCACTTTCGATTTGTCTGCGTGTTGTGGCACTCCGAGAGCCGGATTTTGAAGTACGAGAAATTTGTGATCCAACATCTGCAAGCACCTACTCAGCAAAAAGAGCATCTTTGCCTGGATCTTCGTAATGCGCGCTCCCGGCCGTGGCCCAGATTCCGTTCTCATCCCAGTCTAGCGCGTGAACTTGAACTGAATGTTGGACATCTTCTGCACTCGCAGGCATGGTATGAGCGCGCAGGGTGGCACGCAGAAGAGTACAATGGAAGCCATTGCATGAACTTCGAACACCTCGCCGTATATTGTCAGCGAGAGTACGGATTTCATCGGCAGCGCGTTCAACAATGTATGTATTCGAGCGGGATTGCGTCTTGGCTGGCTGTCTTCTTGGGGGATGCTCACACCAGGCTGAATTACAAGCTCGTGTGCGCGTGGCACATCGCACAACGTTTCGACTTGGTCCGGCTGACTAGAGTAGAACGGAAAACATTCAGGTTTTAAACAGCTCTGGTATTTTCAACTGCAATGTGAACATCATCGAAGTGAACACGTATTCCCAGGAGGCCGTTATTCAAGTTCGCAGGTGTCTTAAGGCAGTGATCAAGTTGATATGCATCAAATACTAGAGAGAACTAGGGTATTTTCTGAGAAGGCGAATCTGGGTGATACAAGGCAAGGGGCAACAACAATTTGACCGTCTGCACGCGAACATCCAGCACGCTAAGCAGTTCGATGTTGCATATCTTCAACATAGCCCGGCGCACATGCAACAATATTTTGAAGCCAAGCGAGATGTATGCAAGTATCCGTTTTTTTCTGGCACGTACCCATCCCGAATGACCCGCTCGAGTTGCAAGACCACGTCGAGAAAGAGGTAGCGAGAGTGTTGCACAGGTTCCAGATATTGCACATTGATGATGAGAGTTCACGTATTATTCGTCAGGCTGATTGGGGAAAGGGTCAACCTCCTGAACCTTCTGATCACTTTCCATCGGTCTCCTCCTCGCAAGTCGCGGTCACCGTGGACAAAAAAACACAAAGCATATCGCTTTTTCAAGCAAGATTGGTTATTGGTGGCGTTTGGGGCTGATGACCCCCAGTATGAGGTAATGTTTAACGAGACCACGGACACGTGCCTGGAGAGGAAGAACAAACTGTTTGATTCGTGCCTCCCGGAGGCTTGGCGAAAACGTGTTTGTCTCCATCGGGGGCATCTTCAATACGCATACCACAACTACAAGGACAAATGTCACGGCGAGTCTGGGGGCATCATCTGCGGGAAAGCGCACGCCCACGACAGGGAGATCGCGAGTGACGTGAACATCCCTCACCAGCTGTTTTTTCAAGCTAGTTGCGCGGGCTATAAAGCTCACAAAAAATACATTCACGGAAGCATGCGTGGACCCTGTGGCGGCAGGCGAGCATTAAGAAGTCCCTGCAGGAGAGGGTA